TGACAGTTTGTGTGTGAGGGGTGATCCTGTGTGTGGGGGTGTGATCCTGTGCAGAGGGAAGGATCCTGTGAGGGACAGTGGGGTGATCCTGTGAAGGGGGTCATCCTGTGTGGAGGGGGTGATCCTGTGTGGGACAGTAGGGTGATAGTGTGTGGGACAGTGGGGTGATAGTGTGTGGGACAGTGGGGCGATAGTGTGAGGGAAGGGATATACTGTTAGTGAGGGGGTATACTGTGAAGGAGCAGGGTCATAGTGTGTAGGAGGGGGTCCTGGTGTGTAGGAGGGGGGATACTGGAAGAGAGGGGGTGATAGTGTGAGGGAGGGTGAAAGTGGAGTGGCCAGGGGAGGGGGAGGAAACCTCAATAGTGTGTGGGGAATACTGGGAGGGAGGAGGGTAATACTGTAAGTGGGGAAATACTGGGAGGGGGTTACTGGAAGGGAGGGGGTATAATGGGAGGGGGTGATAGTGAGGTGGTTACTGGCAGGGAGGTGGTATACTGGGAGGGGGTGATAGTGAGGGGGTTACTGGCAGGGAGGGGGTATATTGGGAGGAGGTGATAGTGAGGGGTATACTGGGAGGCGGTGATAGTGAGGGGGTTACTGGCAGGGAGGGGCTATACTGGGAGGGGGGTGATAGTGAGGGGGTTACTGGCAGGGAGGGGGTATACTGGAAGGGGGGTGATAGTGAGGGGGTTCCTGGAAGGGAGGGGGTATACTTGGAGGAAGGTGATAGTGAGGGTGTTACTGGAAGGGAGAGGGTATACTGGTAGGAAGGTGATAGTGAGGGGATAATAGTGGTGTGGAAGGGGGTTAGATTAAATACCTTATTTCATTTCTCAGTGGTCCGGTGGGCTCCCTGGTGGTCCGGTGGTGATATTCGATCTGCAGCTCCACATTATGCAGAGCTGCAGACCATGTGTCTCGCGAGACCCGGCAGAGCATTGCCGTGGTAACCTGTGGCCATGCTCTGATTGGCCAGATCTCGCGAGACACATGGTGTGCAGCTCTGCACACTGCGGAGCTGCAGACTGGCGTCCACAGGTGCTCTGCTCCCAGGCAGATGGCACGGAGGGGCCTCGCACCCGACGACATACTGAGCAAGCCGCCGGGCCCACTCCTGGTGTCGGGTCCTCAGGCACTGACCGGGGACTTGACACAGTCTGCCTAAAGGCCTCGCGCCACCTAAACCGCCTAATTAGAGAGCCGCCTCTGAGCCTCGTCCTTTGACTCTTTGAAAATTGGCCTCAGAATGAAGACCTTTCGCTCAAGCAACTCACGACAAAGTTAGTTATGTTGTTTTGTCTCATCTCCTTTAAAAGTGTCTCAGACGTACGTACACTGGACATTACAGCACATTCCTTTACTCCAGATGGCGTTTCCTTTGATATCTCAAGGTGTACGAAGACATCCATTACCTCGGTTGTTTATCCAGCCTTTCCACATAATGTTAACCTATGTCCAGTGGCCTGTCTCAAGGAATAGGAGGAGAGGACCTCTTCAATACGTGATCCTACATATGCTGATTTGTTTGTATCCCTTAAAAGCCCATATCAACCTTTTTCTACAGTGACCTTATCTCGTTGGGTCAGATGGATAATTAAGTTGGCTGACATCGACATTTCCAAGTATGAAGTACACTCTATTAGAGGCGCTATGGAATCAAAAGCCTTCTCCTTAGGTTGCAAGTTAGCGGACCTCATCCGTGCTGCTGATTGGTCCCGGAAATCTACTTTTCAGGAATTCTATTTTCATCCAGTTCCTCATTTTTCCACTACGGTGGTTGCACAGCTTAGAACAAGCATAATATGAGCCTCCGTGTCCTTTAATAAATTTACCAGATTTTACTAATTTAATGACGTAAAGTCATGATTTTATTAAGGACACAGAGGCGAGTATTATCCCACCCGACACAGGTATGTTACACCCTCCCTGGGGTATAGGTATATAATTTCACTAGAAGTATACAGTCATCATAGTAATGTGGGTTTTCACCTAATTGAACTATTTCTGTTTATGTTAATGTTGAAGAATTGGATATACTGCTCTGTTACTAGATGCACTGCATATCAAATTTAATATCCAAGGGCATATTTTACCACTTATTTCTTTGTCTTTACAGCCTCCTAATTGGTTTCACATCAGTCCACATCAGTCCCTCACACTCTCGAATGGATGTGTGCAAGTTGTTTTACAAGTTCCGTTGTTGGATTATCCCAGAGTCGCTGTTCTCCACACCTAGTTGGGCGTCTGCTTCGCTCTTGTTGGGATGTTCGTCGGCACCAGTACGAAAAAGGACCGGCTTAATGTCACATGGGACATTATAGTGCAAGGAGCATTCCTATTGGTTAATATGTTGTATTGTGGTTAATCCTCTAGGGTACATGTTGTATTTTTTATTTAAATATTTACAGTATACTTTCTTTGCTACAGAGGATTAAAGAAAGAGATAAGCATAATACTTGCCTCTGTATCCTTAATAAAATCATGATTTTACGTCATGAAATTAGTAGAATCTGGTAATAGGTTTAAGTTCCACCAAGCACCAAGATTCCTCCACTGCAGCCGGCTACTCTGCTCCCGAAGACGTTAGTATGCCTGCTGACGCATTCCGCAATCTCAACCAATCAAATGGTTCTCACAGAGTAGCATTGGATTGGAGCAACACATTCAAAGCCAAAAACAGCGCTCCTCCGATCAAAATCACTAGAGGTGTACCTAACTCTGCAATTAAACATTGCAGTTTCTACAAAATATAGGTCTTGGAGCTAAAAGTTCAAATTTAGTTTAAGGAACAAGTCAACACAAGTTGCCCTCTTATTAAAATTAATTGTAGAACTGAACATGAGTGACATGCTTATTAACTGTTTATACAACAAAACATGCAAATAAGCTTCTTCATAAAATGCATACAGTATTAAGTGCACCAATATAAATTGCAAACTCCAAAGTGTATAGCACAATGTGCAACAAAGTGTACACTCAAATGATATATCATACGAATTCCAGGGAAAGACTTACTTAAATATCTAGAAAGAAAGGGAAAAAAGTAATAATACAGATTATTATTAAAAGTCTTGTTTTATATGTTGTATTGCATATAAACTTTATAAATGATCCGCTTATTTTTAGTTATACATTTTTTGTAATTTTTGGCAACGCATGGGATGTTTTGAGCTGCTGAAGAAAATGACACTAAAATATATATTCAGTCACTTTTTATTTTGCATAGTTTTAAGTGCTTATCGAGATTTAGATTCTGTCACCTTAAAAATAGTTAATAGTTTAAAGGAAATAAATATTGGCTCGTAGGTAATAAGTCATATTGCCCATGATGTGTGTGAACTTTGTAAAAAATTGCAACTTTGTAACATACTTTAAATATCCACACAGGTCCGCTACAACCCTTTCTATATAGCCAGTAATTCCTGCACCAATGAAGGACTGGCGTCCAGGAGTCCAAAATATTAAAATGTTGGAAGTTTTATTGCTTTTATTATTTTAATATTTGATGATATGCATATGATATGCTATATGGCATTTAATGACGATTGAATACAGAGGTGATACAGTGGCATGTATGTTGATATGACCTATTTTATTTATCTTGTGACTGTGGCCTTTAAGTGAAAAGGTTAGTTTTCTGGTCAGAACAACAAATGCACTTTCTTCCGTGTCAAGAAAAAGGTATTAAAAACCTGAAATATCCCACGCACATATTATTTATTCTCTGACGTTAATTTCTGTGACAGCAACATAGATCACCGTCACTTTTATTTAATTTGCCTTCATATAAAACATTCCCTGCAGTAGAATTAATTACTTGTACTATTTTGACTTCATGAAATATTCTATGTCCTCTGTTTATTTGAACCCATTGTATTTCATTGTATTTCATTGTACCTTTATTGAGCTAAAGTCAAGGTGGATCCATAAGTGGAATTGTTACTTTAGATCAGTTAAGATTCATGAGATTGTGACATAAAGAGTGCTTTTATTCAAATTAAGTAAATCCATGATATATTTTGAATTGTCCATTTTACTATAATACGAGAGGCTAAGGTGGATAACCGTACATCAGCTTCTATCAGCATATTGACAGCTCTGTTCATAATTTTCTTAATTGACTACAGATACAAGAAGACGTAGCTTGCACTCTCCGAGAGCTGGTCAAGGGAGATTGGGATCTGGATGGTGTCCATGGGCACATGTTCTCCAAGACCCAAGCTCCCTTGACCGGTGCGATAACATGGGAAGCAAAGGAAGAAATATACTGTTGCAAGATGGAGGAATTTCACACGAAAAGCAACATCAAATTTTTTTTTTTTTTATTAATCAAGATAATATTACAGGATATAACATTTCATAAGAATAACATGTCCCAATATTTTAAAGATTACAATAAGTCAAGCAGTATATCAAGGTTAAAAAAAAGCAATATCTTGTATCTGTTTGTGATTAACCATTGCGAATCTCAGTTTTCTGATATGTTACCTTGTTCATAATTTCAACAATTTTTAAGAGTCGATGCTTCCTATTTTTGGCTTTCAAGGTCCTTCTTCATCCTTATTCCCATTCATCCTCATCTCTGAAGATCTTCTGTGACTGCAAAAGTTGATTGTATTCCAGCTGACACTATCCTAATCTAGTGTTTGACTTATGAGTAATATTATTATGGCACATTTTACTGAGTATATCTTAGACAATGTGACACATCTCTTCTTATTTTTTAACAACCCGCTAGTGTAATTATGATGGAGATCCAGGACAGATTTTAGTTGTACTGCAGTAAACGAGAGCAGCATGTGTTAATAGTCACACAAAGTAAAAAAGAATGTGGTGTGATTGTGATATCTGTATAAAAGTCTTAAGAAATCATAAAATCATAATATAGATTTTTTAATGCCCTCTTGTGAATGCCATCTTATAATACTTTGCCTCTTGTGAATTACATCTTATAATATAACAAACCTTTTATTGGTTAATTACACCTATACATTAAGGTTGAATACTATAGTTAATTATTCTGCTCAAGACTAATAATATTTTGTGCTGAGGACTACAATATGTGTTTTATCTGATAATCTGTTTTATCTTATATGTCTTATGTTTTGGTGGTTCCAATGTCAAGGCTGATTTTTTTAGTCAAGGAAGCCCTCCAAGGGTAAAAGGAGTTCAGGGTTTCTATAAATTTTTCTAACATCCTATTATACTGCCTTTAAACAAAATATATGTCCCAAGTGCAAGGTCTATTGCTCATTTAATGATTGTAGGGATGTGCGTAGTTGCTGATGCTAAATAAGCAGGGCTTTTTATGCTGGAATGAGGTCTTTAAAACAGATTGTAATAACCACGGATAATGCCAATGACCAATAAAGGATTAAATTGGCATTCTGCAGATTGGTATTCAATAATTCCAATGGTGCCATACCATGGGTCAATAGCTGTTACAATAAACTGCCTAATGATTACCAGGAACACCAGTTATCAATTTAATCATTATCCAGTCCAGAACAGATCTTAGCAGTGCCTGGGGATCTATCTACTGAGATACAGTCCTAAAATTGGGAGAGGGTTAAATCATAGAATATCAAAATCACATCAATACTCCCTCCAGCAGTTGAGAATACTAAAATGGCTCAATGTATCAACAATGTACATGAACAGATACTCAGAAATGCCTTTTGCAGGTAATTAAATACAGCCATTTTTATACTACCAGTTATTTCTGGCATAGCTAATTGAGTATATTAATAAATGCCCAGTAGTTAATTGTGTATTTCTGAATAACACTAATTAATTGGATTGCACCTGATATATCAACATCGACTACTTTAAATTAAGCAGAAATTAAATATGGATAATTAGCACTTACAAAGCTGTTTCATGTTCCATCAATATATAAGAAACGTATAGAATTGTAGAGTATGGAAAAGTTCTGCATGATAATATGAATTGTTCCTTAAAGGACCACTATAGGCACCCAGACCACTTAAGCTTAATGAAGTGGTCTGGGTGCCAGGTCCAGCTAGGTTTAACCCTTTTTGCTGTAAACATAGCAGTTTCAGAGAAACTGCTATGTTTACCTATGGGTTAATCCAGCTTCTAGTGGCTGTCTCATTGACAGCCACTAGAGGTGCTTCCGTGCTTCTCACTGTGATTTTCAAAGTGAGAAGATGCCAGTGTCCATAGGAAAGCATTGAGAATGCTTTCCTATGGACTGGCTGAATTCGTGCGCAGCTCTTGCCGCGCATGCGCATTCAGCCAGGGATGTCAGAAGAGGGAGGAGAGTCCCAGCACCGAGGGAGCCCGGCGTTGGAAAAAGGGTAAGGGATTAACCCCTTCCTCGCCACGGGAGTGGGACCCTGAGGGTGGAGGCACCCTCAGGGCACTATAATGCCAGGAAAACGAGTTTGTTTTCCTGACACTATAGTGGTCCTTTAATTTCCTCTCTTCTGATGAATAACAGAATTATCTTGACAAGTTAGCATGTCAGTTTAAGTTCAATATTTTTAAATGCAAGTAAGTGCACCTGTGATTTATTTCAGACAGATTTTTTTTTTAATATAAAATGTTGATACTTTTTAGGGCCTCTTGGTACTATACTTTTCTTACATGTAAATTAGCAAATATGTTGAACAAGTGACCAGAGAGATCCTGTATGTTTAATTTCAACCGCTACAGAATTATACTTAAAGAGGCAGTCCATGCACCATAAACACTGCAGTCATTGTAGTGATTACATAGTTACATAGTTGAAAAGAGACTTGTGTCCATCAAGTTCAGCCTTCCTCACACATGTTGTTGCTGTTGATCCAAAAGAAGGCAAAAAACCTAGTCTGAAGTGCTTCCAATTTTCCCACAAACTAGGAAAAAATTCCTTCTTGACCCCAAAATAGCAGTCAGATGTCTCCTTGGATGATCAAGCAGCTATTACCCCACTAATTAGAAATTATATCCCTGTATGTTATGTTTTTGTAAGTATTTATCCAATTGCAGTTTAAACCTCTGTAGTGACTCTGACAAAACCACCTCTTCAGGCAGAGAATTCCATATCCTTATTGCTCTTACTGTAAAAAAAAACGTTTCTTTGCCTTAGATGAAATCTCCTTTCTTCCAGCCTAAATGTGTGACCTTGTGTTCTATGTATAGCCCTGTTTATGAATAGATTTCCAGATAA